GCAGCTCTACCCACAATTGCGAGAGTCAGCTCCACCTTCCCTGATCCACACGGATTCCTCGAAGCAAGCATATATTTATTTCTTAACATTTCTATTTCTCCAAAGAGTTGCGGGCTAAAGCCGGCAGCCCTTCCTGTCATTTTACTTCCCAACAATTTCGTGGGGCAGGAAATGCTGAGGAAAAGAAAAAAAGTTTATTTGGCCCCAGGGGGAGGACTGAACAGAATCAGAGTCACATGCCTCGGCGCAGGCTCTAGCCACTGTACAAGGCTGCCTTACAGCCCAAATCAGTTTACTTCCAAAAGGGTAACAACGAATTAAAACGGGAGCGCATTCCCTTTAGAACGCAATCCTCACAATTTCTAGCACACGGGGTGCAGAACTGCGCTATCTAAGCAGCCAAAAATTGCACGAACCAGGCAATCAAATATTAAAGTCCTGTGTTCAAATCCCACCCCTAACACGGGTAAGCCCTCAACTTAAGACTCGTCCGTTTAGCGGCCCTCGAAGTTACGCCACTTTAAAAAGCGACCTATGACGGGTTTTTCACACTTACGACCGTTGCAGCACCTGATCAAAATTCAGACGCTTGGCAACTGACTCCTATTTATGACGGTTGCGGCGACCCGGGGTCACGCGGTCACGTTTCGCGACTTACCGACAAGCCAAGTTAATGGGGGGAAGCCAGCTTCACTTAACAACGTGGGATTAACTTAAATGACTGCAGCAATTCACTCAACCAGCGTGGCGAGAAAGGTCGTAAAAAGGGAGCAAAACTCCCTTCGCAAACGTCTCGCTTGACAACCGAGAAATGTTGGGCTCCGCTGTGGTCGGTAAGTCGAGGACTACCTGTACAACAAAGTGTCCTCTGGAGAGAAGCTGTCTAAGGTACAAAGTTCAGTTTTGCCACCGTTTGTGCGAAATCACGATGACCGGGATGCTGCACTGTTTCAATTCTGTAGCGTAGTTTAATGATCATATTTAATATTGATCACCCCAGCCGTTAAGTTGCTGAGGAAGGAGATGACAACCTCAGGCAAGACAAGATGTCGGTGCCCAAAACTCTGGTTTCAAAACAGGAAGGTAACAACTTCATGTTTGAGCCAATTTTGGTCTAGTGTAGGGGTTTTCCAACTTGGCCCTTTGATGACTTGTGGACTTCAACTCCCAGAATTCGTCAGCCAGTGTGCCTGGCTGAGGAATTCTGGGAGTTGAAGTCCACAAGCAGGGGTCTTCCAACTTGGCCCTTTGATGGCTTGTGGACTTCAGCTCCCAGAATTCCTCAGCCAGGCACGCCTGACTGAGGAATTCTGGGAGTTGAAGTCCACAAGTCATCAAAGGGCCAAGTTGGAAGACCACTGGTCTAGTGGTTAAGGCACCGGGATAGAAAGCAAGAGATGGTGAGTTCAAGTCCTACCTTTAGACATGAGAACTGGCTGGGCGGCTTTGGGCCAATCACAGGAGGCGATGAGTTCTAGTCTCACCTTAGGCATGAAAGACAATTGGGTGATTTGGGGCCAATCACCAGGAGGCAGTGAGTTCTAGTCCCGCCTTAGGTATGAAAGCCGGCTGGGTGACTTTGGGCCAATCACCAGGAGACGGTGAATTCTAGTCCTGCCTTAGGCAAGAAAGCCAGCTGGGTGATTTTGGGCCAGGCCAAGGATAGGCCACCTTGGCTCTTTTATGACTCGTGGACTTCAACTCCCAGAATTCCTGAGCCAGCCATGCTGAGGGGAAAGGGAGAGGTTTCCAAGCTGAGCCACGCTGGCTCAGGAATTCTGGGAGTTGAAGTCCACGAGTCATAAAAGAGCCAAGGTTGCCTACCCATGGGCCAGTCCCTCTCTCTCGGCCCAAGCCACCTCACAAGGTTGTTGTTAGGGAAAAAACAGGAGGAGAAAGCAACGTTAGATCTGTTCGCCCCCTCGAGTTGCTTATAAAAATAATAATGGCAGAACACAAATAAATAAGTTTGTGCCTTCTGGCCGGGAGGGAGGTTTGGCCAGCCCCCCCCCCAACCCAACATCCCTAGAGAACGTGGCCTCCTGGTTGGAGGCTGGTCTCCTGGTTGAAAGGCCATTGAGTGACTTTGGGCCAATCAGAGGAGAAGGTGTGTTCTAGGGCCGCTTTAGGAATGGAAAACCATTGGGTGACTTTGGGCCAATCACCAGGAGACGGGGAGTTCTAGTCCCGCCTTAGCCATGAAAGCGGGCTGAGTGACTTTGGGCCAATCACCAGGAGACGGGGAGTTCTAGTCCCGCCTTAGCCATGAAAACCGGTTGAGTGACTTTGGGCCAATCACCAGGAGATGGGGAGTTCTAGTCCCGCCTTAGCCATGAAAGCGGGCTGAGTGACTTTGGGCCAATCACCAGGAGACGGGGAGTTCTAGTCCCGCCTTAGCCATGAAAACCGGTTGAGTGACTTTGGGCCAATCACCAGGAGACGGGGAGTTCTAGTCCCGCCTTAGCCATGAAAGCCAGCTGAGTGATCCTGGGCCAGTCCCAGTCTGTCAGCCCAACCCACCTCACAGGGTCGTCGTTGTGGGCAAAACAGGAGGAGGAAGGTGTGTTGGGTCGGTTTGCCACCCTGAGTTTTTGTAAAAGTAATCAGTGACACACAAACAAACACATACATAAATAAACTTTCTGAGACCCACATTCCCACCTTCCTAACTCCACCCATCAAAAACCTCTCAAAAGCCGACGCGTGGACCACACCGTCTGCAGATCACCGATGGCCCGAATGTTTAGCCCCCAATTTCCTTTGCTGTCCCGTGAATTTTGCCCCATTTTACGACCTTTCTCGCCATACTCGTTATGTGAATCACGCCCGTGGTTAAATTAGTAACAGGGCGGTTAAAACGAATCCGGCTTCCTGCAACTGTCATAAATACAGGTCAGTTGCCAAGCATCTGAATGTTGATCACATGACCGCTGGGAGGCTGCAACGGTCTTAAGTGTGAAGAACGGTCGTAAGTCTCTTGTTTCCGAGCTGCTGCAACTTTGAACGGGTCACTAAACGAACGGTTGTAAGTCAAGGACTTACCTGCACTCCACTTCTGGCCCTTCCTGGCATGCACTTTGTTGCACGACGTGGGGCGCAGTGCAACTTTTGCACAGGCCTGCCATCTCAATCAATCATAATAGAGCTGGAAGGGGCCTTTGGAGGTCTTCTAGTCCAACCCCCTGCTCAAGCAGAACACCCTATACCATTTCAGACAAATGGCTGTCCAGTCTCTTCTTAAAAACCTCCAGTGTTGGAGCACCCATTACTCGACTGATTGACTTTTTATTCTACACCAATGTTTCTCAATCAATCAATCAATCAGAATAGAGCTGGAAGGGACCTTTGGAGGTCATCCAGTCCAACCCCCTGCTCAGGCAAGAAACCCTATACCATTTCAGAGAAATGGCTGTCCAGTCTCTTCTTAAAAACCTCCAGTGTTGGAGCACCCACAACCTCTGAAGCCAAGCCGTTCTGCAGCCCTCGACAGTTTCAAACCCTAAATCCTTCCAGGCGGGATCTTTATCCTAAAGCTTTAATCCATCCCTTTCCCCTCCCCCCCACACTTCATTCTAAAAAACCCCTACACCAAATGAAACTTTTAATCCGAATTAAAAGCAGGGTCAGAGCAGAGCCCTGCTGACACAGCTGCCCGGCCTGTCTCCTGCTCATCTCATTGCAGGAACATCTGCTAGGAAACTTAGGGGAGGGGGGCTCTTGGGGGAGGAATGGTGGACCCCCACACACCCCAAAAACTGAGTCTGAGATGAAAGACTGGCAGGGGGTGGGGGAAAGGATCAGGCCACCATGGGGTGCCCCAATAAGCCTCCACCACTAGTGGGGCCAGGAAGTCCCCGTTTCCCCCCTAGATCAGCAACAGGCTGTTAACTTCCGCAAGGGTTCCCCCCAACTCACTTAAAGGGGGATCCCCCCTCCCCTGTTCCCACGGGGCAACCCCAAAGTGATGTCAAGGCTTCTCCCGCCAATTCCCCCCCCCCACTTCTCCCTATAGCCGGCGGAGACCCCCTTCATTCCCCCCCCTCCGCTTGGTGGCAGTAGTGGGATATTGCCCCGCGCATGCGTAGCAGCGTCGGCACCCCAGGGCCAGGGGCCCGCGTTGCTTAGAAGCAAAAAAAAAAAAAAAACCTGCCCGTCTTGGTTTACGCATGCGCGAAGCAACCCGGGCCCCCGGGCCCCGTTCCCGCCGGGCCCTTTTTCCTCACCCCACGGAGGCGCTTAATCAACGTGTTCTTCGCCCCGCTCTTAGACAGGCCCCGCTGCTCCAAAGCCTCCTTCAGGTCGGCGACCCTCAACGCCTGAAGCGGCCTCCCGTCCAGAGTAACCTCCTCCCCGTCCGCCATCTTGTGTGGCGCTGCTGCCTGCCCTCCCAGGAGCTTCGGAGGCGTTCGGGAACTTCCGGAGAAGGCCTCGACGCTCGGAGGTGACCTCCGACCCCGCGCTCGGGCCGTCCCGTGAACGTCCGACCGCTCTTCGCCGAGAGTCGTTGGTTTTCGGAGACTTCCGTTCGGCGTTCGGAACCCCTATGGGAAAGGGGAGGAGGGAGGGGCGAAGGCGCCGCTTAGGTCGGCGACTCTTTCCGGGCTACTTCGGGCATTTCCGGGTCTTTCGAGGAGCCGTTCCAACTTGGAAGTAAGTTCTGAGAAGGACTCGGGAACTTCCGGTGATCTTCGAGCCCTCACGGAAACTTTCGGCAACTTCCGCCGAGCGCGAAGAAAGCGCCTTCGTTCCACAGCTTGGCGGCCGAGTTCGGCTTCGGGTATTTCCGGATGAGTTCGCCGATTTCCGTCGCCCCGCCCGAGGCTCTTCCTCCTGCCGAAGGCGGAGCGGACGAAAACGCGAAGCCATGGGACAAACCGGGATCTGAGCCAAAACAGGTGAGAATGGAATGCAGGCTTGTCTTCGGCTCCAGGGACTGGCCGCTCGGGGAAGGGATTGGTGCAATTGCAGAAGCCGCGCTCGCCCTGCTGGGTTGGTGGACTACAACTCCCATCGCGCCGAGTGAACCCTGGACACGTGTCTCGGGGGCTGCATTCCAACGGTGGGCGAGACCCAGGGCGGGGGGAGTGGCTGTTCTCCTTGCCTGGGATTCTGCCTTGCGCGCACCCGGAAGCAAAGCGGGTTTGTGCAGGATTTGCACGACCTCAGTTCAGTTCAAGCTGGCTTGTTGGGGTCCTTGTGGATCTGATAGCCACGTATCTGCCCCGTTTAAAGGAAGCCTCCCCCGATGCTTCCAGACGGCTTTTCCACCTTGGCAGCTTTAAGATGGGTGGGCTTCAGTTCCCAGCATTGAAGCCAAGGGAGAGAAGGAGGGAAGGAAGGAAGGGAAAGAGGGAAGGAAGAGAGGAGAGAAGGGAGGAAAGGGGGAGAGGAGAGAAAGCAAGGAAAGGGAAAGGAAGAGAGGAAGGAAGAAAATGAGAGAGGAAAGAAGGGGGAGGGGAGAGGAAGCAAGGAAAGGGGAAGGAAAGAGGAGAGAAGGGAGGAAGGGGGAGAGGAAAGGGAAAGGAAGAGAGGAAGGGAAGGGGGAGGGGAGAGGAAGCAAGGAAAGGGAAAGGAAGAGAGGAAGGGAAGGGGGAGGGGAGAGGAAGCAAGGAAGAAAGGAGAGGAGAGGAAGGGAGAGAAGGAAGGAAGAGGGGAGGGGAAAGTGGAAGGAAGGAAAGAGAGAAGGAACGAAGGGGAGAGGAAGGGAGTAGAGTGGGAAGGAGAAGGAAGGGAAGGAAGAGGGAGAAAAAGTTTGTTCCTTGTTTTGGAATGTCATTAAAATGTTTTCTGAGCAAATTCAGGACAGAGAAGCCGTGACCATCATACAGGTAGTCCTCAACTTACAACCAGTTACTTAGCAACCATTCAAACATAAGTTGAGGACCAACTGCGGCAAACATCTTGGGGTTTGCACTTAACGACGGCGACAAAGATTTTGGCTTCCTAATCCAGTTTCCAGCTGAGGAATTAGCAGGACTCTCCCCTCTAGGTGCGAACCGGATCGGACTTTGCTTAGCTTTGAGCCGCAACAAAGTCTCTTTTGAGCCAGGCCCCGGGTTTAAATCCTCCTCCTTCAAGCCTGTGGTTCAAAAGCCCCACCAAACTACACAAGGCCGTCCTCGACTTACAACAATTCGTTTGCTGATCGTTCAAAGTTACAATGGTGCCGAAAAATGACCGTTTTTCACAGTTAACGGTAACCGGTTTATATCTGTGACCGTCGCTGTGTCCTGGGATCACGCAATCCCCTTTTTGTGACCTGATGAGCAAAAGTCAATGGGGGGGCCAGATCCACTTAACTACCGGGTGACTAACTTGTTAATGGCAGGGATTCCCTTTTAACAACCAAGGCAAGCAAGGTGGTAAAACGGGGCAAAACTCACATAACACAAATTCCCAAACAAATTCACCTCACAACATTCCCAAACAAATTCACCGCACAAAATTCCCAAACAAATTCACTTCACAAAATTCCCAAACAAATTCATCTCACAAAATTCCCAAATTCACCTCACAAATTTCCCAAACAAATTCATGTCACAAAATTCCCAAAGAAATTCACCTCACAAAATCCCCAAATTCAGGTCACAAAATTCTCAAATTCACCTCACAAATTTCCCAAACAAATTCACCTCACAAAATCCCCAAACAAATTCACCTCGCAAAATTCCCAAACATATTACCTCACAAATTTCCCAAACAAATTCATGTCACAAAATTCCCAAACAAATTCACCTCACAAAATCCCCAAACAAATTCACCTCACAAAATTCACTTTACACCAGAAATGTGGCGGTCGTAAATCGAGGACTCCCTGTAACCCCACCCTGTTTTCTCTCTGCCACCCGCTGCAGGATGTCAGAGCCGCTGCCCTTGTCCTACGTGACGGCCCAAGAGATGCGCTGCCTCCTGCACTGGCTGTCTGGCTGGACTCCCGCCCAACGGGAGCGCTTCCTCCGAGACCTGGTGGACAAGGCTGTCCCTTGGAAGCTGCTTCCCCTGCTTGAGGGCCTGGCTGGACTCAACGTCGGGCCCGGAAAGCCGCCATCCATCTACGAGTGCCAGATGCGCCTCTGGGACCAGTGGTTCCGGGGCTGGTCAGAGGCCGAACGCAACGAGTTTGTCCGGCAGCTGGAGGAGGAGATGCCGGACCTGGCCGGACGCTTTTACCGAGAAGTGGCTGCCACCGCCGGACAGCTGTGAAGCGCAGGCCGCGGCTCTCCCTTCCGTCCCTATATTTTTATGCCGACTTCTCTGGACGTCTTTGGTGCGCTGCCGTTAAACGGAGCCAACGGCCTTCTGTGGGCCACCCTGAATAATATGAATAAAACACTGTGTAGCCCAGTGATGGCGAACCTTTAAGAGACTGAGTGCCCAAACTGCAACCCAAAACCCACTTATGTATCGTTGAGTGCCGGGTGGGTGTGGCCCATTGGGTGGGCATGGCTGCAGTGGTAACGGCAGACTGGGTGGGACTAAAAAGTTCAATCAGTCAATTCCAACTTTGCAAGAACTACCACTACCCCCCGCGAGAAGTTGAAATTGACTGACTGAACCTTTTTTTTTTGCACATGGCGGAGGAGGCCTAAAGAGAAAAGGTTTTATAAAACCCAGCTGAAGGCCTAGAACTGGAGCGACGATGCGCGTGCCCACAGAGAGAGCTCTGAGTGCCGCCTCTGGCACCCGTGTCATAGGTTCGCCACCACTGGTTGTAGCCAGTGCAAGGGATTAAAGGCTGGCTTGTGCTGAAAATGGATGGCCTCACTGATGTTATCCTTCCTTCCCTCCCTTCATCTATTCCTCCCTCCCTGTTTCTTTGCTTCTTTCCTACCTCCCTGTTTTCTTCTTCCTTCTCTTCCTCCCTCCTTCCTTCCTAACTCTGTTTCTTTCTTTTCTTCCCTCCCTCTCTCTTCCTTCATATGTTCCTTCCTGCCCTCTTTCCCTCCTTCTGCCCCTCTTTCCTTCATTCCTTCTTCCCTCCCTGTTTCTCTCCTTGCTTCCCTCCCTCTCTATCTCTCTACCTTCATCTATTCCTTCCCTCCTTTTCTCCCTCCCTCTGCCCCTTTTCTTCCTTCTTCCCATCCTTTCCTTCCCTCCTCTCCCTCTCTCTCCTTCCCTGTTTCTTTCCTCACTCCCTGTTTCATCCCTTTCTTCTCCCTCCCTTTCCTTCCTTCCCTCCCTACTCCGTTTCCTTCCTTCTTCTCTCCCTCCATCCTTCAGCTTTCTATTCCTTCCTTTCCCCTTCTTTTCTTCTCCCTCCCTCCTTGTTTTCTTCCTTCTTCCCTGTTTCTTTCCTTTTCTCTTTCCCTGCTTCCTTCTCTCCCCCCTTCCCTCAGCCTCTTTTCTTCCTTCACCCCTCCCTGTTCCCTTCCTTCTTCCTTCCCTCCCTCCCTCGCCCCCTCTCCACCCCTCCCTCCCTTCTCTTTTTTTCTTACGGTTTTGTAAACAAGATGCATCAGTATATAAAAAAAGCATACAGTAAAGAACAAATTAGCAAGGGATTTGCCATGGAAATTATATTTTTCCGGCATATTAGTAGTCAATTATGAATAGTTGGATATATTATTTTAGAGCCTGGAAATTGCTGTTAAGCTCTTAAGATAAGCATGAACACCCAGATCTCGATCAGCCAAGTATAAATCACTGTGAGATTATCAGCACAGAAAAATTAATCTTTATTACTGAGACTCTATTTTGATTTCAACATCCTGTGAAATTAAAAAACAACAACCCAGACTGTTCCTAGAGCAGTGGTTCTCAACCTGTGGGTCGGGACCCCATTTGGGGTCGATCGACCATTTCATGGGGGTCGCCAAGCAAGGCTGTCCGCCATTTTTTTTGTCCGCCATTTTTTCCCCCTTTTCCGGCGGGTGCCTTACCTCCCTTGGGCTGGGCCAGCTGGTGGTCGGCCTGCTCCGTCTCTGCTGCTTGCCAGTTACGCCTCGGCCGGCGCAGGGGGCAGAACCACGCATGTGCGGTGCTCCCGGGCAGGGAAAGTCCTCGACTTATGACCGGTTCGGTAGTCCTCGACTTACGACCGGTTTAGTCCTCGACTTACAACCGGTTTAGTCCTCGACTTACGACCGGTTGGGGTCGCGGCATTAAAAAGGTTGAGAACCACTGTCCTAGAGCAAGCCATTCATTGCCCTTCTAGAACCTTCTCCTTGGTTTGCTTAATACAGACCGTCCTCTACTTAACAACCACCACTGAGCCCCCAAATTAGGTTGTTAAGCAAGAGAGTTAAGTGGATTTTGCCCCATTTTACGACCTTTCTTGCCACCGTCATTAAGCGAATCACTGCAGTGGTTAAGTTAGTAACTCGGTTGTTAAGTGAATCCAGCTTCCCCCCCCCCGTCGACTTTACTTGTCAGAAAGTCGCAGAAGGGGATCACGTGACACGGAGACACAGCAACGGTCACAAATATGAACCAGCTGTCAAGCGTCCGAAGGTAAATCACGTGAGCATGGGGTTGCTGCGATGGTCCTAAGTCAATTTTTTTAGCGATGTTAATTTGGTTGCTAAACGAACTTTTGTAAGTCGAGGATTATCTGTAATGCATTTTTAGAATTGACCTGGATTTCCTTGGTCCACCCAATCTGCTAAATCAAAAATTAAAAGTCGCAGTAGTGGGGCAGGGGCACCTCTTTTAGCCCCTCTTTTGGGGCAAGCTTCAAACTTGGCCCTTTGATGACTTGTGGACTTCAACTCCCAGAATTCCTCAGCCAAGCACGCTGGCTGAGGAATTCTGGGAGTTGGAGTCCACAAGTCATCAAAGGGCCACGTTTGAAGACCCGTGCTTGTGGACTTCAACTCCCAGAATTCCTCAGCCAGGCACGCTGGCTGAGGGATTCTGGGAGTTGGAGTCCACAAGTCATCAAAGGGCCAAGTTTGAAGACCCGTGCTTGTGGACTTCAACTCCCAGAATTCCTCAGCCAGGCACGCTGGCTGAGGGATTCTGGGAGTTGGAGTCCACAAGTCATCATAGGGCCAAGTTTGAAGACCCCTGGCCTAGAACGTCCACCAAGCTTTTCAATGGAGGAAACAAATTTTAGGGTTTAGCTAGGTGAGGACCGACGTAAAGGGTGAAACGATGCTGGAGAAAGTCCCTGTTCATTGTTTTGCCCTTTGCAAAATGTCCCTAAGGAACCCAAAGCCAAAACCAGTTTTAACTATCTCTTTTATCTTCCTTGTCTCAAATCTTTGGACAGTGATGGAAATCCGTAAACGGATAATCAGCAGATTGGAATGTCTCTTGAGCACAAGAGTTTCTCCGCTGTCAGAGGGATTTCAGCTTTGCGTCGCATTTTCCTAATCCTGGGTTATGAGGTTGGGCAGGCTTTGAAAACTTTAAGATGGGTGGATAAGCATACTGGCTGGGGGATTCAATCAGTCAATCAGAATAGAGCTGGGAGGGACCTTGGAGGTCTTCTAGTCCAACCCCCTGCTCAAGAATACCCCTTCAGACAATTGGCTGTCCAGCCTCTTCTTAAAAACCTCCATTCATGGAGCACCCACAACTTCTGGTGGCAGGTCGTTCCACTGGTTACTTGTTCTCACTGTTGGGAAATTTCTCCTTCATTCCAGGTTGCTTTTCTCCTTGATTAGTTGAATTATTAAGCAATTATCTTTGACTTAGCAGATTGGGTGGATCAAAGGAAGCAGGGTGGATTCCAAAATGCATTACTAAACAAATAGAAGTTTCTATGGTTTGTCTAGGAACAGAGATTGGGGGTTAGACTAGATGACCTCCAAGGTCCCTTCCAACTCTGTTCTTCAAAGGTTCAACAGGTAAGGATGTGTGCATAGGGTATGGTTTAAATTGGGTCTTCAAACTTGGCCCTTTGATGACTTGTGGACTTCAACTCCCAGAATTCCTCAGCCAGGCATGCCTGGCTGAGGAATTCTGGGAGCTGTAGTCCACAAGTCATCAAAGGGCCAGTTTTGAAGACCCATGGTTTAAATTCAGCTCTTGTGGGTAATTCCATTCCTGGCCACTAGAGGACCTACCAAGTCTTCCCTTCAGCCCTGTTTTTTTTTTTTTTTAAGTGGGTGGCTTTAAACTGTGTGGACTTCAACTCCCAGCATTCCCCAGTGAGCTTTGTTAACTGGGGAATTGTGGGAATTGAAGTCCACACTTCCTAAAGTAGCCAAGTTGAAAAACACTGCTTTAGTGCATAACCTCACCAGACAACATGGAGCACAGCTCTGTAGATCAGCCCTCCCAAATTTAGTGTATCTCTTTTGGACTACAGCTCCCTTGGCTGTGGATTATGGGAATTTTAGCCCAAGGGTAAGCATCTGGAGTATCTCTCCCACCCGGGTGAGTGAGGCTGTCTTGATTAGCTGGCTCTATTAGGAAGAGAATCTGATTAATGAGACGAATCAAGCCAACACAGCATTCATTGGCCTTTGGAGTATGTTGGGTGAATCCTGATTTAATGCAGATCCAACCAATTGAGGTTTATTTGATACATGATGGTTAAACAAAATGGCTCAGCCCAACCACTGGCTCCTATTATGATCTATTTTTGTAATTGTTTGATGAAAAGGACCCTCTGATCAGCAGGGCTAACTCTGTGAAATACTGGATGGCTTTCCTATGGGCACAGAGGTCAAAAAAGTCAAGATGGCCACCACAAATGCAGTCAAAGCCTGATCCTTGTTTGATATTCTCTCTGCAAACTCTACTTTGGCGGGGAAAGTCTTAAGCTGAGGTCTGCGAACTTGGCCATTTTAAGACTTGTGGACTTCGATTCCCAGAATTCCTCAGCCAGCATGGCTGGCTGAGGAATTCTGGGAATAAGTCCACAAGTCTTAAAATGGCCAAGTTCGGAGACCCCCCTGTTTTAAAGGCATGAGGGAGGTGGCTGCATTCAAACAAAATGCTTATTGTCTGTGTGTAGGTGTATTTTTCCACACATGCACACCGATACCCATCTTGCTGTTCCCTCTCAGAATAAGCATCTTTATTCAGAATCCAGACAGAGGCCTACCGCCCAGGGGCTGTGATATCACCCATGTCATAAGATAATGAATTATGTAGATTGTGTAATTTATGCCACAGAGAGTCATCTGCGCGGTAGCATCACGAGTTACCTGATGCCACTTCCCCTTATAAACCCAAGGAAAAAATAAATAAATACTAAACTGAAGGAATTAAAGTCGTCAATCAGAATAAAGAAAAGGAATGGAGCAAAACCGTGTTTATCACGACGCCGTTCCTTAAACCAGTCCAGGTTTCTCTGCCCCTGGAAATGATCTTTGCTTTCATCCCTTCCAAACACCATTTTGGACATTGCCTTTGGTTGATTTGCGCCTCCCTGAAACTAACCTGGTTAGTTT